TGGACTTCTCCAGCTGTGGGAAGAAGGGGAGCTCGGGCTGTAACACCCAGGGACAGCAAGTGGCAAGCCCCAGCAGGAGAGGAACCACTGTACCAGAGAGAAGAGAAATGAGGAAACTGGGGCTGGGAGGACGGGCCCTGAGAAGGGCCCCAAAGGCTGCCAAGACGAGACTGCAACGAGACACGATATGACGCCTGGGGCTACAATATGTGGAGGACAGACTCCGACCGCCCCTGCGGAAGAACAGGGGTGGAGGCTGGCCAAACCCGGAGGGTGTGGCACTTACAGCCTGCCCTCCCCCAGACTGCGGCCCACCTAGCCCTGGCCACCCTCTACCACACAGACTCCTCCCCAACTCTCCGAACACTACACCCACCCCCTCTCAGTGGGCAAGGCCAACTCTCGTAAGGGGCTCCCAGAGGGGGCGGGAGAGACAGCCATGACAGCTGGTGACTCTGACCAGGAAGAGGTAAGGGCAGTTAGCCCAGAAAAAGAACTAGGCGGGACAGTTCCAAACAATACAGACAACTGAATATACTCACCAGCTGAGGATGAGGGTCCAGGTAAGGAGCTCGGCGAGGCAGCTCCAGCAGCGGCGGAGGCTGCGACAATCCCCTCCGTGACGGCCCTTGATATCATCGTGGCCAGCGCAGAGATGAGAACCGGCTCACCCAAACCAGAAAAGGTAGCTGTGGACGAGGTCGACGTAGTCGTCGTTGACATCCTCGACGAGGTGGAACCTGAAGCTCCGCTTGTCACAGTAGTCGTTCCCCCTGACGTCGACGCGGACGATGCCATGAGAAAGGAAAGACTAGAACACTAGGGACAAAACCAATAAAAGAAAGCACAGAACAACAGAACTTGCTGCAGAAACTACTCCAGACAGAAACTGGAGTCCAAGCACCCACGCACTAGCTTAAATAGCTGACAAAGTTAACCTTGATTAACTTTAATAACTTAATCATCAAGAGTTCTAGAAGGGACAAGACTATACAGGACATAATTAGATAATACTAAACTAACAATAATAACTAAGAATGTAAAATACATGTACACATACATATGACAGTAACTCTTTAGTGTACTTTCCTCAACAGTTTGTAGTATAAATACTGGCTCACAGTATGACATTTAGGCCAATGTACCAATAATTTTGAATCAAAATTGTGGGGAATTTGACCTTGTCAGGCCATCTTTTGTAATCCAGTGCTAACGTAACATCATTATTAGTGTAATATTGTGAACCAACATTAATACCAACAATAAGAAGTCAGTCAGAGTTTACACTCTATGCGCAAGCTAGGACATTTTAACCTAGTTTTAAATGATCAAATTAATATATTCTTTGAATGGTCTTCACTATATAAATCATGTTCACATGTGCTTTTAAATCATACATGAAAATTATTGTATCTATTTTTAGGGCATCATTCTTTTCTTTTTTAATTTAATTAAAATTTTTTAGACTAATTTTTTCTTTATTACTTAATGTTTATTATTATTAATTGAACTATTAATGATAATGGTAGAACTCAACACCCTTGTTTCCACTATTTTTCGACAACCCAACTTTTTATTGAATAGAAATTTTTTTATTTACTTGTTTCCATACTTTTTATTAATTAAATATCTTTTTAATTAATAAGTATAATTTTTTCCTCAGGTATCAGTTCATTACTGGAATAAAGAATTTTGATGTAAGAACCATAAATAGACCTATCACATTATAAATACAGTTTTTTTTGAATAAATAATGATATTTATAGCCTACCTCAATTATTAATCATTGTTGTTATTACTAAGATCTATCTCCTGTTCTGAAACTATTGAAAGTAACAATCAGGTCCATTTGCCAAATTTCCCCTCACAGCTCTTAAACCTTTCCACAGTTTTGCAACCTAATTTGTGACTAACCAGCGAGTCAGTTCAGTTACAAACTTACATTAGCTGTCATTTATGTTTTCTTACAGTTAATGGATAATGATTAGCATCATGGAGTTCCACCTCCTCAATCTCCACCACCAGTAGCTAGCAGGCCTCCCCCACCACTTCTCGAAGGCCTACCACCACTACCACCAGATGAATCAGATCCTCCTTCACGACCAACACCAATACCCCCGCCACTTGCAGTAGTAGGAGGTTTTCCACTAGTTGCTGGTGGCATTCCACCAGTGGCTAGAGGTCCTCCAGCAGTTGCTGGTAGGCCACCACCAGTGGCTGCAGGACCTCCACTGCTGGCTGGAAGTCTGCCACAAGTGGCTGGTCTTCCACTGCTGGTTGG